TATTTATTTATTCATTTTTGTTTAAGAAAAATAATAACAATATATACAAAATATTAAAAAATTGAATATTGTATGAAAATATTATTTTAAGTGTATAAATAATAAAAATAAAAATGTATGATATTTTAATATTATTTACAAATTTATTTAAGAAAATAAAAGTATATTAACCTAATAACTTATTTATTGTGCAAAAAATAAAATAAAAAAATATGATAAAATGCAAAAAATAAAGAAAATATTTTTTGGGAATTTTAATGTTTAGAAAAAATAAATAAAGTCAGAAATTATAAATGTATGCAAGAAATATAAAAAATAAAAGAAAATGCAAAGGGGGGTGTAAAAAGTAAAAGGGGGGTGTGAATAGAAGCAGGCCCAAGGCACCAGGCCCAGCCAGCTTCGTCCATGTCCTCTGGCCAAACGACCAAACGCGCGCGTTCTGCCTCTTCAACCTGTTCTTGCTATTCTTTGCATAAAATCAAAAACTTATAACATGAAAAATGTAGCTCATCATCACACGATTCCAATGATATAAAGAACATGACCTAACTCTCAAAGATCAGAGAGAATTTTAATGGCCTTAATTTCTGACCTAGTTTTTTCAGCATGTTCATCATCCAAATACTCTTAACTCAGTTAATATAAATGGAATCTAAGCATATGTACAGCTCAAGCATGTTAAAGACTACATTTTTGCTTCACAAACCTAAGCTTAATGATGCCTAAATAGAGAGATAGAAACTTAACAAATATCTTGTTCAGTTGAGTTTGGATATGGCAATGTAGCAACTTTTAGTGAAGCCTGAAGGTCGTGTGAGCTTGCTTGAAGTTCCCTCAAGCTATCCCAGTGCTCAGCTTGCCTTGAAGTTGCCTGAATCTCCCTGTAGAAGTCAACCTGCAAAGCTTCAAAATGAAAATGGTGATCCTTAAAACAAAGGTTACAGTTGCAAGACAAAGGCTTGGACAACTTAGGTAGGAGGTATGGAATGTGTTTGAAGTGATTCCAAACAAAACGCACGAGGCAATATAGAAATGGCTTGTGATTTGCATAGATTGCCCTGTTTGGGCAGGAACTTGGTGTTTTTGTGTTTTTGGGTGTTTGAGAGGTTGGAAATTCGTGTATTCTGCTTGTTACAATGTTCTGAACTTGTTTCAAATGATACCAAGACTTGGTTTTATCAGATGGAAGAGTTGTGTGGACTTTTGCAAGTTTTCTTGCTTTTGAAGAAAAGTTGGAAGTGACTTGCCAAAGGCTGTACTTGCTAGCTCGTGGGATGTAGAGGGTTGGTACACTTTTCCTGATATTCATGGATCTTGTTTGCAACCAAAGATCAGGTTCAATGCTCAAGGAATACAAAATTGCAAAAAGCATGCTTTATCAAAGTAGCATTGTTACCTTTATGCCATTTTTGGATTAAACCCTTGTACAAAGCTTCAAAGATCAAAATAAGACCATTATCCATTGAGTTTGAATTAAGTTAATGAGTGTAGAAGGGATTAGGGCCTGTAAAACCAAGTACAAGCATGCTTAGGACAGATTTGCAACTTGAACCAATGTGAAAAATGCCTTGGACAAAAGTGATAATTTGCCATTTTCATTTCTTCGATTCTTCCTAACCATAAATGATCTTGGAGAGTTCTTGGACATTTTGGAAATATTGTAACATGCTCTACAATCCATATTTGAAATGAATTTTGAGATTTCTCTTGGAACTAGGTGAAAAGTTGCCATGAAGTTAGGTAAAAAATCTGCCTAAACTAGGGCAAAATTTCACTAAGTTAAAAAGTTTATGGACCCTTATTCACAAAATCATAACTTGATATCCAAGAATCTTTTGAGAAAAATTTGTGAATAAAAGTTATAGATTTTGTGGAGGAATACAACTTTCATGTTGGAAGTTTTCTTTAAATCCAATTGCATCATAGTGAAAAAGTTGGGAAAAGTTTGGAAAAAATAAGAAATTTTCATAACTTAGAAAAATTCTAAGTTATGAAAATTTTCAAATTAAAACCCTAATTTTCAAAATTAGGTTTCTTGGTGAACATGTTTTGACATGTTTTGATGAAATATGACCCTTGGCACTTGATTTTGACCAAAAAGTCAAAGTTTGACTTTTCAGTGTACAGTTGATTTTTGATCAGTTGACTGGAAAATTCATTTGTCAATCTAATACATTTGAGATCTTTTGAACCTTGTGATTAGGTCAAGATGATGCCATTGAGTCCTTGAAACCATGCTTGAACCCAATTTGCCATTGGCTAGGTGAAAAATCAGAAATTGCCCTTCTATAGTCAAAACCCTAATTTTGACCATTTTGCCCTTTTGATGATCTGATCAAATTTCTTGAGGAGTTGTGGTCCAAACTTGATCAAATGGTTCATATGAGTCTATAATGTTGATGTGGATCAAAAATTATGAGGTTTGACTGTAAATTGGCCATGGTTGACTTTTTCCCCAATACAGCTAATTTTTAGGTCAACTGTCCAATTGACTGGGTAAAAATTTGATTCAAAGCTTGAAACTTGGTATGAGAAATCTTAGGAGTCCAACATGAAGTATGAAAGTCACATGAGGCATTGGAAGTCCAAAAATCCTTGTGCAAACTCAAACCCTAATTTCAGGTCATCAGTGCAAGGAGATGTCTTGAGCTGTGCAAACCCTAATCTGGTCTTGAGTCCAAGAAGTCTTGTGAGGAAAATCTTGATAAAATAAGAGGGCAAATTTTGGGGTACAACACTAACTCACTTGGATTTGCTTCAAACAATTTATTATCTAAAGACTTTTGAATCTGTATAAACAATTATGTCTACCACAGTGCATCAAATCGATATAAAGGATGACTTACAACACAAGAAAGTACTTGAATCTCAAAACACTAAACCCTTATTCTATATTTTAAAGTGTTGCACAAGGATTTGTTAAAAACTCTAGGTCTAAGTCTTCCTTTTATAATCTTTATTCTGTCCATGGGCTTTGAATCCTTAGCTGATATGTTACAGAAAATTAGAAAAAACTTCTCCATGAAGATATGGCTTTAATGGTTTGTTACCAAACAAAATCTTAACAAATCAATCTTCTATTATCCAAAAGAAATTCCTTATTCTTCAGAGTTAGATATCACATAGGATTACTTAAAATTCCCAGAATATTCAGTAATTTAAAATCAACTGTATCAAAATTATAAAATAACTATAACATTCCAGATGTTCTATACTGCTGGTTAGGACATCATATTCGACATGTTGAACCGATACTCTTAAACATCTTAATCAACATCTTGTTTTATCAAAATTAGTCAAATTTCATAGCTCAGATCTTTGGAGTTTTCAGTAGTGATTCTTGAGATAAAAGTGAGCTATTGAATTTTGATCTAGAGGATGCTAGAGGAGATGAGAACACGAGAATTGATAAAGTTAATCTTCAAATCCAAAATATGACTGAAGTGATCAAAAAGATTAAAAATAGGCTTGAATTAAGACTTTTTAGCCTTGGAAAATAGGATGACATCTTTTGTAAAAAAGAGATGAGATATGCGTAGTCCATTGATAAATACACATAAAAGTTTTCAAGATCCACTTCTAACATTAGTGATGATAATAGAGAAATTTTCCATGTAGGAAAAAGTAAAGGGGACAGATCCCCTTGGAGAAAATCTTAGGATGACTTGAAGGACAAATTTTTTCCTTTCCACAAAATTACAAGTATGAAAAGAAAACACAGTGTATTATAAATTGAATCGTGATTGGTAGAAACTCAAAGTCTATAAAACTTGTTTAGAATTCAAAGTCCAAAATCCATATTAATTTATCACATAAACATTTCTTATTAAATTATTAAAATTCAAATCTCAAGATATATAAATAGAAGAAAAATTCAAAAAATTAAAAATTTGAGAGACTAAAATTGAGACAAAACAAAAATAAAAATAAAACTGTGTTTAAATCAAAATTATTAATAAAATATAAATATTTATGTTATTTTGTTGTATTGACTGATAAATGTAAAAATTATTATATAACATTTTAATAAGTAAAAATAATTTCATATAAAATAGTAATAAGGATACGATTGCCCACCTCAACAAAATTAACAAAATTAAACAAACTCCGCAGCTCATGACACTAGTAAAAAAATATATCATTTGAGATTACAACTATTAACCAATGATGTCATAAAATAGTGAGCTAAGTAGTTCCTAGCACATAAATTTAATGTGAAATAGTATATTCTACCACAGATGGTAATAGCAATGGAAAAAAAATATTATTTAAAGAGAGTACACAAAAAGGCATGACATGGACACGTGAAAAATCTGCTTATGTTCTGTCCTTTTGTCCTTTTAGTTCATGCCCTCTGTTGTCTTTTCAAAAAAACTACTAGTACATTTGCCTAGTGAAAAACAATTGCCATTTGTAAGGTTTTCTTCAACTAACTAATACATTCAATTTAGGTATATGTAATGTTACTTTTGAAATTTAAGGCAACATTTAAACATAAACTTCGGGAAAAAGATGGGGGAGTTACACTTATAGCTGTCCCCAAAAATTATTCTTGTTCATCAAACACATATTACAAATTTTAAGTTTCAATGTCCCTAAACCATGCAACTCAAATAAGAACGTTCGTTACATATATTCATTCGAACAAATATTCATTCAACCGCTAAAATGGTTAATGATTTACCAAAATTTGGTAGAGACATAGTTGTAATAGGTTTGGTTTAAGAAAAATGTTGCAATAATCTCTGAGTATTTATCGAACTTTGAATTAAAGTGGCAAAACTAAACTATATTATTTTCTCATTTTCTTTCCTACCAAACTTAGTAAAGATGTGAGATATATCGTAAAACAATCTAAAGCTACTAAAAGATACGTGATTTTTTTTCATAGAACTTGACGTGAAATATCATAGGACAATACAAGATAGTGATTTATTAGATTTGGATACCAATTGAAAACTAAAGTTCCTTGGTTTTTTTTTATTGAACTCGGTCTCTTGTCATTCAGTAGCCTTTCCTTTCCGTCTGCTACTGCTGCCAGTTTCCAACAGGTAACAAACCATAGAATCAACATCATCCCCAAAAATGCTGTATGCCTCTATAGCTTGTAGGTAACTAAATCCCATCGATAGTAAGATGTGCATGCTGCTGCTAAGACTAGACTCATTCTCTTTCCCGTGTTCCTTCTTGGGATCACTACGTGATGATCCTACAAAAACTCCAAGTTAGCTTATTTAGTACAAATTTCAAATACAACAGTAACAAGTACAGTAGAAGAACTGCAATGCAGCTTTTAAAGCAATTCATATGAGGAAATACTAACTTGCTCCAGAAGAAGATGGCTCAGCAGTTGATGTAGACGATTCTCGGTGGCCACGTTGATGCTTTAATGTACCACCAGCAAGATATTCAGCTCGGGAAGCTTCCATTACGGAGCGTTCAATTTCCTTCTCTGTGAGCTCAAGATCAGAGTAAAACCTCCCCTCAGCTAATAGTGCCTGTCAGAAGAAAGTTGTAAAAACTAATGTCACCAGCCTACAATTTAAAGAACAAAAGAAGTGCACAATGTTATAAGTCAAGATGCTTACATTATCGATTTGCTGATCTTGCTGAGCTTTAATAGCAGCTTTGACTTGATCTTTGTCAGCATTTCTCTGCATAGTAAATGAAAATGTACAATCAACCATTTTTCAATCAATTTCCGTTCAATGTAGAATGATGAGACAGTTCCAAGTTAAAGGAACTTTCATTGGGGCTCCTACAATACTCAAAGTTTTCTAGAAAAAATAATGAATAATTCAAATTTTTAAGGTTTTTCAGTTGGAAAAACATGTATTATTAACAGTTCCTTCATAAAATGAAATAGAAAGAAAAAGAATGGTGCAATATATTACAATGATAGCAGAGTACTCACCCCACGAAGAGAGCTGAAACCAAGTCCTTCACCAGTTGTTGGACGTCGTGGGTCAACAAGAGAGTTGTAATGGTTACCATAATGAAAACTCAGGCGTACTGGTGGTGAATCAGTGTCATAGCTTCCATGAAATGTATTGATAGGCTCTGCATCAATAAGTTATGTTATTAAATAAAATGGTAGATGACTAACAACTATAAATAAAGATCAGCTCTACCTGTGGAGTAGGAGTATATATGAATAGGTCTATTATACATTTCAGACATGGCTTGGATCTCAACATTGTTGCCATAAACCTGCCAACAAGGGGTAACATATTTACACCAGTTCAAAAAATTTAAAAGTACAACCTATCAACAAACTAAAACTGCTAGTGGTGTTAAAAGTTGAATACAGTCGTGACTAAAATTCAAGTGACCCCCCATTGTAGAGGGAAAAAGTAAACTTTCACTACTCAATCATTAATAAGAAAATCAATGGAGTAAAATCCAGAAAATACATAATTGTAAATGCATTTTCATATTACAGTAAAGTAATAGCAACAATCAATTTCTTTATGATTAGTTGTTGAGATCTCTCTTATAAAGTGAATACTCACTAGAAAAAAGGTAAATTCATAGTGAATTCGAGACATCTGAGACCATGTGTACACAATTATTGGAATTTCATTAAAACATGTAAGCTTTTTATCATATGAAATGGGCTATTGCCATACCTTTCAACGCATTTATCCAAAAAACCAGACAATGCTAATATGTAATATGTACACATTGTAACTTCACGGTTGAAAAAGTAAGAACCAGGTATACATCACGAATTAACAAAAATGGAAAATAGAATGTTGTGACTATCCAAAAGACTCGAATACGGTTTATTTATGCAACAATACACAGCCAAACAAACTATTAATGCATTTAAAATTTTACCGAGCTCACACAGCCAAACATACTTGTCTAAGGGAAACTTGTACCAGCTGTCAGGTAGTAAAACTAACAGCTACTGCCCCTAAATTAAACCAAACATCCATGCATATATCCCCACCAATTCAGTTGACTATTTGGTCATACTAAATATGAAAATGATTCCCTTAATCACAAGATTTGCCTTATTCCTCATAGGAAAAACTAAGATGTTGACGAAAGAATTGCAAAGCTAAAGAAAAGCAAACTTATCTGAACATCTTACAAAGAGTAAAGCAATAAGATTTTGGAACAATGTAACTAGCAGGAAAAAAGAAATATCTGAATAATGATTGATGAAGGAAAAGTGGAGAGAAAATGATGACCTAATCACAAATCACAATCTAGATAGTATGAAAAAAAACAATATGGCTTATATGAAAAAAGGGTTGGGAGAAGGAACAATCACAGCCCACATCTGGATTATTTGACATGTTAAAGTGTGTGACTGTGCATGCGCATGTGCATTTTCAAATACTGATGGCATTGATCAATCATGTAAATTCAAAAGTACAGCTTTCAAAACATTGGTGGAGATGGAAACCTAAATGTTTAGGAATTTATTTGAAAAACAATACATGCAAGGGAAATTTTGGCATGTTTGTTTTAAAAGCTTAAAAGCATGGCAATTGCTGGAGAAAGTTAAAATGTCAAAGTAAAAAAAGAAACCCAAATCATGCTGCAACATGCCTTATCTCTTCTCTTTCTCTTACAGTATGAGGAGAAACCTTCCGTTACAAATTGAGAAAAGTGGTCTCTCTCCCGCTCCTGAAGACATAAAATCAGTGTAAGTGACAAGGTTTGTTTGATTCACAGGCAGTATCCTAATAGAATTAGAAAGAACGAATGAAAAGCAAGACCAGGAAAATAAGATGTAGTGCAACATATCACAGGAGTTTAACCAGAATGGGCAAATCTAATGAGTTGGCCCAGATAATATAATTTTTTGTTGAACATTATTTCCTTCATACAAGTATTCGAAAGAAACGTCTAGGAAGTTGCACTTATACCACTAAAATTACACTAAAACACAAATGGTAAAAGAGTCAATCATCATATAATGATAGGAGGTTAGTTTGATTCACAGAGGCAATATTTTAATAGAATAAGAAAGAATCAAGAGCTAGACCGGAAGAAAAATGGGCCAACTAAGCAAAAATGAGAAAATATGATGTAATGCAACGAGTCAAATGCAGAATAATATTATTTTCAGAAAAAAATTAGTTCCTTCAAGCCATGTGCTGGCTTATGTTTAATATGCTTCTACAAGTGCAGAATATTCTTAGATGTTAAAGTTCAGAACTTCCCCTTCTTCAACACAGTTCTTGTTTCAGTTACTTCTGATAATAATATATTAGTCTTTCAAACTTATTCCATGCTTATTTACAACTTAGAAGATAAAAAGACACCCATTCACTAACTCATTCTCAAAAGCCTAACATTCTTGTTGATTTTGTAAATAACCAGAAAGTCCTAGGCATTCCATCATGCCAATACTGGGTGAAACCTAGATGCATTTAAAACCTTCAATATGAATCCCTAAACCTAAAAGGAAACCTTTTTAAATCCCTTACCGTAATTGCTAAGAATAGTTTTAAAACCACAACCATAGTGGCAGACTGGCACTGACAGTGTTCTTAACTATGTAGAATGCACTAATTAATTTGAAAATTTACTTATTATACAACCACAAAACCCATGAACCTTGATGAGAAATGAGACATCCTTTTAGGAGAAGACCATTAAGCCCATGGACATCATATCATTAAGTCATACAATTGATTAGAAGCTGACCTAACAAGAACTAAGAAGAACAATTTACTATTGTTACAACAATGCATAGACATGAATATTGACTATTGAGGGAAAATTCATTTGGCACAAACATACCATAGAATCTATTATTGAAAAAACAAACATACCATGTAATCCATGCTCATCTGCCTGACCAAATCATACAATTCTGAGTCCCCATACACTTGGTCCGCAACAGCACGAAAAAGGCAATTGCCATCCGCTGTCATTCTTTTTACTTCATAGCCTTTAACCCTTCTAATATCAAATTCAAACTGCCGCTCTCTTTCCTGACATGGATGCCAATACCATTTTGATATATGATATTATTTCAGTGAAAGCGGTGAATAAACCTTTTAATTAACTAATATATAAACATGCAACAGTGGAAACTAACATATAAACTCCAATATAGGAAACCTAACAAAACAGCTCTTTCAAAACTAGGCCAAAATGATGGAAGTGAGATTAGGCATTTAGCCATACCTAGAAAGAAAGAAGTGATAAAGTAATATATATAACGTCTAAATGAAGAAGCCCAGTTAAAAAGTGTAGGATGATTTATCAAAGTTAAACATTACTTCATCACCATGGTTCTTCTCTTGTGGCATGAAGAGAGCGATCAAATTATCCATATTATTCCTACTGAGTATTTTCTTATAATACACGATAAATACTATGTCCTAAAAGAATGGCGAATTATGAAATGAAGCTCAACAGAACATACAACAGTTAATCATTTAATTACTCACTGAGATCAAGGTTATCATCAACTTACTGCATCAGCATAAGAGGATACATAGCATGGATTCTGTTCATCAGCACTATTATACCCCTCACTTTCATTATGCGCTTTGGGAGATGAAGGCCGAGACCCAGCAGGTGAAGACCTAGCCGAAACAACAGGCCACACATTTGTTCTCCTTGGTGATCCTGCATTAACAGCATTAGGAGACCCTGATGCACCTCTTCTCGAAGTTAAGTTAGTTGCAGAAGGCTTTGGAGGTGGAACAGGAGGAGGTGGAGGATGTGAACCACCACCACCAACATTAACAGGATTATCCTCCTCACACAAGCCTTCGTTCTCTATCACAGATCTTTCTTCTTGAGAACCCTCAACCTCTTCTTTAACATCTTTCCCAGGAAGATCAGCCAACACTTCCATGCCTAAAGGTGCATCACTCTCCTCCAAACAAAGACTTTCCATAAAAAGCTCATCAATCTTTGCCATGTTACTACTCCCAGCATACTCCGAATTCTCATCACCAACAGTCAGTTTATGTTGCTCCTCTACACTTTCCTCATCCTTAGCAGCAGACAGAACCTGTGTCCCCTGCTCCGGCCGAACGGAAGATGACCCAGCACCAGCACGGCCATGATTAGGATTCTGATTAGGGTTGTTAGTATTAGTATTAGGGTTCTGAGAAGCACCACCAGTGGAAGAACCACGCTGAACATAAATTCGAGTCATCGTAAAACCAGTATCCCGAACAAGCCACCAAAAACGATGGCGTTTAAAGCACCTCAGTGATCCAAAACCCTAAACCAAAAGAGCTTATCACGTGTTCTTGCCCTGGGCGCAGTGATGCCAATGCCTTTGCTGAACGATTTCTTCAGATCCTCGCAACAAAACGATCTCTGCATTCCCCTAATAATTCTCATCAGACCCAAACCCTTCAACTTTAAACAACAAAACCTTCTTTGAGATTGTCGAATTTACCGAGTTTTTCACCACCGCCGATTAAGCTTCCTCCTCCGCAACCGCCACCTGCACAAAAACGCCATCATTATTTCTTTTCTTATCAAAAAAAAATAATCTCTCTTTAATTACTCGAAGATTAGCACAAGAATCATCGAAGATTAACACAACAAAAAATCAATTTCTATTAATCAGACGTAGAAAAATCAAATCGTCGAAGATAAACCTGTGAGAATCGAAAGGGATTAATGGAAGAAAATTAGGGTTTTGCTTTTGAGGAAGAAAATTAGGGAAATAAAGTGAGAGAGAAAGAAAAATAGAAAGAAGAAGTTGCTAGCGATTTTAACGGTGGAAGGAAAGGAAAGTGGCACGTGATCTAGAGTCTACCAAACGACACGTGGTTAGTTCGTACAGTTAATAGCACGTGCTAGTTTGGTCGAATCTCGAATGGTTCATGATGATGGATGAATGGTGTTTAATGGTTCAGAGTGAGTGACGTGGCGATTCAGAGTTCGAGTTTGGTTTTTGAACCGTTGGATTGAGTGTGGTGGAAGAGAGGTGGGTCAGATTGTTGCTACAAGGTGGCACCATCTTAATAGTACATGCGAGTTTAGAAGCATCTTAAAAATAAACGAGTTTAGAATTTGTTTTGGTACGAATTCCTGTATCTCATATTTTTGTCCATTTTTATTTTCCAAAATTATGATTCCAACAACTAATGTGTTTAAAATATTTAATATATTAGATAAAGAGTGACCGAAACCACGGATAATATTTTGCAATTTTATGGATTGTTGAGATTATTTAAATTTTTAATTCACTTTAATTATTTAGAATTAATTATTTTATAATAAATTAATTTTTTATTTATTTTTATTTTCACTAAAATTTATTTTTTTTTTTTGTCTATAAATAGAGATTTTATTCATTTAATTTTGACACCAAAAAAAATCACTTTTTCTCTCTATTTTTTCTATTTAACCTCCAACAAACTCTTGTTTTATTCATTTTTGTTTGGTTTAATAATGACTATTCCTATAAAATTAGAAAAAAAAATTAAATAATTAAAAATATAAAATTAAAAAAAAAATTTAAATTATAAAAAAAATTAAAATAAATTATTTAACTCTTAATTATTTTAATTTTATTTCGATCGATTATTGATATTTATATAAAATCATAAAAATATAAATAAAAAAATTAAAAATATGAAATAAAAGTGGTGGGATAAGGTGTTGAATTTTATTAAACAAAATCATTATAGTGAATAAAAGTTGAATGAGTGTTAAATTATTAGGTGAAAGAAATAGAAAATAATATAAAATATAAAATAAAAATATATATATTAAATATGTAAACTATTGTACAAAGTCTTATTGACTATGCTAAATTTTAATTTTGTTTATAATATTGCAATACTAATATTACATTTTTATAACTATATTTCTACAATATTTTATTTTTGTTTTTTCATATTTTGATTATTATATTTCATAATTATATTTAATTTTAATATATTTTATTTTATTGTTATAATGATATTTTATATTATATTTAATTTTAATAATTATATTTTATATTATATTTCATTTTAATAATTTTACTTTATAATAATTATTTCATTTTAATAATTTTACTTTATAATAATTATTTCATATTATATTTTAATTATATTAATATTATAAAATGATAATAATTATTTAATATTTTATAAAATATTTCAATGGTTATATATTAAATAATAATTTAATAATATTTCAACTATTATATTTCAATTTTTTAGTTTATTAAATATTTAGTCCATTAAATATTTCAACTATTTAATATTTAATCTATTTAATATTTCAAATATTACTATTTAATAATTTATTTAATTTAATAAATTATTTAATATTTTAACTACTAATAATTAATTAATTTATTAATAATTAAATAATTACTAAATATATAATAGAAACTTTAAATAATTTATTTATGATTGAAATATTAAATAGTTAAAATATTTAATAAACAAATATTTAATAAATTAAATATTTGAAATATTAAATAGTTGAAATATTTAATAAAATAATTATCTAATAAAATAAATATTTCAACTATTTAATAAAATAAATATTTAACTATTTCAACTGTCTTTGCATTGCAATTTGCATGTATATTTCGGAAGATTTTGACAACTCACACCTAAACCCTATTGAAAATATTCATGTAATTATGATAAATTTGTTCCATCTATTCCACTTCCTGTGCAGTTTACTCAGTATTTATAAAAGATGGCTCACTTCCTGTGTAATCTACTCAGTCTTTATAAGAGATGATCCTTCATTTGAAAGCATTCAGTCTACAATTTTATGTGTTTCAATTTATAGAATGTTTAAACGAAATATTCATCGATAACAGGTCCCAGAAGCATAAATGATCTTATCCAAAAGCAGATATTAGTGCAACTTTCATCAATTAATAACATTCCATCGCTGGATTTTTCCTTTTATTTTCCTTACTGTATATTTCATTTGTGGTTGTAGTTTGTAAATCGTTTCAAATTGGTGAAATACAGGTATTTTTCATTTATTTCCAGAATGTATCATTTTGCTAATTCCTTTATTCTTTCACATGCTAGTTGAAAACCTCCTGCTACTCCCAAAAAAAGGAAGTCATCTGAAGAGATTCTAGACATTGTCGAATATGATGAGGATGTGTCTCCCACTCCTTCACAACCCAAGAAGACCAAGAAGAAGAAAGCAAATATATCTGATGCAACTTCCCAACCACAAAACAATGTAACTGTCAAGATATTGCCCCCAACACCAAGAAAGAAAAGCATTTCTCAACCATCTGAAGGTTTCGTCTTGGAACAAATTGAAAGCGACAACTCAAGTTATTGAGTTGAAGGATCAAAGGTATGGACTATTCTGCACTATTTTCTTCACTCTCATTTTTATTTATTCGACTTAACATTCTTTTTTCCGTAGGATGTTCGACCAACTCCTACGAAATCTCTCATTCAATATGAAGTTCCTCCCAGCAGCAGTAATCATGTGTGTCATCCTTTGTCTGTGGACGATTCTAATAAAGGATCCTCCACTGACGTGAACAAACTAGATAACGTTCGACCAAGCAAAAAAATTCTCCTAATTCGCCATAAAAATCAAAACTCAATGATTCTGAAAGTGACCATGAAGAACGCCAAACTACAACAAGAAAAGTCTTATTGATGAAGAACCAAATGATGATAGTCCCTCTGATTCTTCTCCAAAGATGGCACGATTTGATGAAGAGCTACTGGATGACAATGAGCATATGTCTGATGATGTCAAAAAGTACTTCCATGAGGAAGAGGAAGAAGACACAAATGCCCATGTGTTTACAGTGATTTCTGGTAAACAACCGCTAGTCCTCCAAACTATCAAATAATCTTAATGACTATTATTTAATCTCTTTGGTAACTTGCAGGATCGACTAGATTGATCCTATGGGGTATTGGTCGTTTGGATAAATCTAATTGTAAAACTGATATTCATAGTTAGGATTTGTATTTAGAATGTTTTATAGACGTTCAATTCACTTCGATTACCATGTTAAAAGAATCTAATGACATGATCAAGTAAAGAAATACGAAACTGAATTGTATGAATAAAGATTCGATTGCAAAGAAATGTTTACATGCAGAAATAAGTAAATAACTTTGAATGTAAAGACTTTGATGTAAAAAGCATGAATATAAAAGCATGAAATGTAAAAGAGTTTCTGAAATATAAAGGATTCGAATAGAAGAAAACGTTTAAATGCAAGAAATAAGTAAATGACTTTAAATGCAAAGGTATTTGAATGACATTGACATGAAAATGGAAGATAAACTGGAAAAGATAAAGAGTTTTACTGAATTATAAATGTTTGGTGTTATCATACGTACATTGTTCGAGCATTCGTTTCCCTATCCATGTGGTATTTTGAATGTTTACTGAATTTTGTACAATAGATATGACACACGAAATCCTAATACTAAGACTTCTATTTATACTACTTCGACCATAACGGTCTTGCTTATAAGATTATGACACGTTCGGAACATGCAGAGCACTGCTCCTCTCTAGCTTCCACGCGTCTTCGAACGCTCCAGTGCATATATATTTGAATTCCAACATCCCGCTCGCGTTTGAATTTCAAATGCTTTGGCAATCTTCACTTCGAACTCATTTCTCAGACACAGTCTCGTTACCACTTCGAGGCTTCTTTTAAATATATCTTCACCACTGTCACTCGAAGCTCCGAGCTTTGACATGTCCGTTCGAAGAACCGCTTCTACCATTCCGAACTGTAACATTTTGCTTTATTCCAACGAAACATCCATATTGCTTCATTTCGAACTGTATCATCAAAATCTTCAGCCAACAAAATGCCCCTTTAAAATATGTATTTTGATCCTTTGAGAAACACTTATTTTAAATATATTTGCAAGATTTTGATGTGACTTTTGAGTAATCATAACATTTATTGTGTATGACTTCAATCACGTCAATCACGACGCCTCTTGGATTTCTTAACCGTCTTGAATCAGTATTTCACAGCATGGTGCAGTTATAAAACAATGATTTTTATTAATCACGCTTATTACCAATATCAGCTTTTACGCCACCTCCTCCTCAATCCAACCCACGACTCCCACGTATCCTAGTCTCACTTAGTGGATGTTTAAGCTTCCACACTATAAAAACTAATCAACTTAGTCTTTTATTCTTTTTCCACATTCTGAATCTTTTTCTTCCTCTCCT